CTAGTGTTTTATAAGCCTCGATTCTAATGACCTTGTTGCCGAAAGTAGTTGTATGGATTGGTATAAAGAATAGAGTAGATCCTAAAAGAGGTATATAGAAGTAGTAAAAATTTTTATTTGTTAAATGAAAATTACGTTTTAATAGACATGGAGAACAAATAGAATATTTGCTGACATTCTTATGATAAGGGTGTGTGACTCAACAAGCCACTGGTCCCATACTATTAATATTTACATTTTCAAACTTTCCTTGTCGCAACTTTCTTACTATGTTCATTTTCACCATTGCTCACTTTTCTATTAATGCTTCTTTAATTGCTCAAATATAAAACAGAATATCTAACTATAATTTTTATAATTTTATTATTTTAAGTACTTATATTCTCTCTATAATATAGATCTGAGGATTTCTTTATTTAACCATTCAACCTTAATATTTTAGAAATTTATCTCCTTGTATTTGGCATAATGGATCAGATACTAAATTTTCATAGCAAGATAACTTTAGACTTCTCATTCACAACCACTAAAATTGCACTATCTGTTCAATCTTTCTTCTATCATAATTATCTGTCCTTGGCTTCTAAGGTTTCGTCATATTTTAACTTAGCATTTATTTAATGAACAAAATAAAAATTGTTATATTTTTTAAACTGTAAAAGCTATATCACTGAGATAGTTGATGCAACTTTAAAAATTTCGATGTATCTTAAAACGCTTTGTGATATCGTATGCCTCAATTTTCCTTGATGCTAAAGAACATGCAAGGATTTATGCCTTTATTACATTCGGATGGTCATTGTATCAAAATTTAAATGGACAGTCTCCTAGTGATTTTACACAAATATAATGAGCATGATAAATTTAAATATCTTTGATCCATTATGCCAAATAACAAGGAGAAAAAATTTCAAATATTAAGGTTGAATGGCTAAAATAAAGAAATTCCTCAGGAATTCTATATTATAAGATAGCATTATAAGACTTTTTTTTTCTTTATTAATATTTTTTGATATTTATAGCATTATAAGACTTAAAAAATATTAAATTTATAAAATTATAGTTAGGCTAATTTTATATAGATTTGGGCAATAAAGAAGTCATTAATAGACAAGTTGAGCATGGTGAAAATGAACATAGTAACATGAAGTTTGCAACAAATCTAGGAAAGTTTGAAAATGGTAATATTAGAGGGATAGTGTAATAACATTTGTTGAAGATAACAATAACATTTTATCCCACTACATGAGGACAGTTAAATAATTTATTTTTCTCCATTGTGTCTTATTAAGAGTCAAATTCTCATTTAAATATAATTAAAAAAAGTTATTTTTACTATTTTCTAATCAAGTATTTTTAGGTCTACCTCTATTTATCTTAATACTGACTGGATCTAATATATCCACTCGCCTAACAAGGTCATTAGAAATCGACTTTTTATGTGACCAAACCATCTAGGGATACTCTCTCAATATTATTTGCCACTAGAGCTACTCCAACATTTACACATATATAGTTGTTTTACATTTTGTCTCCAAGTATAAAGCCACTCATCCACCTAAGAATTCTCAACACTATTGTTGTTGGGTCCCAAGCCCTAGATGAAAAAGTGGAAGGCTGTGTTAGGCAGCTGATAGCCAATGTAAAACTTATCAAAAATCATGACATGAATCCTTTAATGTATTTGTTGAAGATAAAATAATAAAAAATAAATCAAAACGGTTTGAGCATATACAATAAAAGATGTAAGATAAACCAAGAAAATGAGTAGATAAAATTAATGCTAAAGAATAGAAGAAGAAAAAGAAAACCAAAGGTAACATGAATAAAAGTAAAAGGATTTCCTAAAAAATAGGCTTAACATTTATTTTGAACAAAATGGGGATGACGGGAAAACAAGGTTTCATAATACTAACCTTGCATGGCTAGAATAAGACTAATCATGATGACGTGTATATTCTTTTAAATATCCTCACATAAAATTATAGGTTTTTGATGATATTTAAATTGCATTTGATGGTTTTAATTAATGAAATATGTGGGTAAAATTAGATTTTTAAAGTGAGTTTCTATATATTCTCCAGTCATCATTATTTTTTCACAAGTTTAATGAATGGTAAAGTATCATTGACGTTGGTGCTACCAAGATCGGTTGGTTCAGCAAACCGGTTCAACAATCAACCTAATTTTGATTTTTTTTATGTTTTATCATATTGGTAGTTATCCTAGTCATGAATAGGATTAGGTTTTATCCTATCCTAATCATCAAGGGGGTCAATTCTTATAAATAGAGCTTCCTCTCTCTATTATAATTTCGGTCTGTTTCGAAATAAAATTTCAAAAATTAGTTTTCTATCTATGTTCTTTTCTGTATCCTGGAATAATTTCCAGGTGGTGGTCGTCCCTCATTTTCCTTCCCCGGAAGCCATAGGTAGCTGTTCTTTCCTCCGTTGTTCCTCTCTTCTCCTCCCACAGCAACAACAACCTCCTCCAGTTCTTCCTCTTCCAGTCGCCCGCCAAGTCTTCTTCCAGCCGTCGGTTGTCCTCTTCCTGCATCGCCAGGCCTCTTCTAGCCAACCCCAGCGCCTGTCAGCCATTGGTTCTGCCTTCCAGCTGGCCAGAAGGTTGCTGTAATCCTCCCAAGAAGTCCCTTTCTTGTTTCTGTCCATGCCTTCCAGCCCCTAGGACAGCCCAATCAGCAAGAAGACAGGGGTCTTTCTTCCATTTTTGCTTCCATTTATTTTCTCCCAGCAATTTGGGAAGGGTTTTCAACCCTCCTCACAGCTATTGTCCTTCTTCTCCTCTCTCAAGAAAGTAGTAGTTTAGACTTTAGAGAAATCTGAATTTTGAAGTCCACAAGAACTCCTCTAATTATTAGATATAAGGTGTTTGTCTTCTTTTATCATTGTTTTGTACAATTATCTAGTGTCAATCATGAAATTACAAAGCTTAGTCCATCAATAAATTTCAAGATGTAGATGAAACTCAAAAGGTTTGATGAGTTAGAAATTTTTAGAAGATCGTAGACATGAAAATAAAATCTAGAGAAAAATCAATCACTCTATCTATATATACCCTTAAATAGCCATTAGAAACGACGAAAAAAAAAAAGGTATCCACACAGATATAAATGCACCGACCACTCCACATAGATTGCAAGTACACGACAGTAGCAAAATAAGTATACTATAAGATTGTGCAATATCATAAACTGCCATACCTCTATTTTCCATAGCATCTGCCAATTCTTCCAACAAATTAAATTTTACAAAACATTTGGCATGATTGATGTGATATCCAATTTTCTTAGAAATTTATGTCATCTCTTATGGCAAAATGGTATCCTGAAGGTAGTTAGATGTGATTAAAGTATGGCAAACCAAATAAATATACATGCTTATCAATCCAACACTTAATCTGGCATCAATAAACTTTATATTTGCGATTAAAAGAAGAAGAGATAGAGGGACCATCTGAATCTCAATATTTCCTGTTACGACAGCTTTTTAATGCTGCTAGTTATGTTAAAAATTTAAGAAACTATATTCATCTGTTAGCATGACATTAGATGTTGAAAGCAGAAGAATGCATCACAAATATAAAAGATAAACATGTTGCAGCTTTCCAAGCATGGTAAAATTTCCATAGCATGTTATCTACCAATTGAGATGCCCTGGGAAGCAACAATCGGAATATGAGGAAAAGGCCTCTTCAATGCAGATATATATTTGCCACCACCTAAAATTGTTGCTGGATATACCTAATGGAAGAAATTATATAAATGAATAATTCGATTATATAACCAGCAACTACTTAGCATGGTTCAAGGAATCATTATACAAAAAAGGTCCTCAAGATAAATGTGGAAATTATATAAAAATACCATCGTGGTCATGTCAGATTTTCATTAAATAATCTGGATGCCCTGATTAAATTAATCATAAGATAATTGCCAAATAATTGCCCAACTCATCAATCTGTTATTACTTATTCTTCATTATTTGTCTCCCAATAATTTTGTTTTGATTTTTCCTTAAATTTATAACTAGTAATTGACATTATTTAATAATTATAAATATGAATCTCTTCAATAATTTGAAACAAGTGAATAAATTATTCTCTCATATTTCATCTCCAATTTTAACAATATAAATAAGTTGCAAATGATTTTTTAGGCATATTTTCTTAAAAAAAACAAAAATACATAAATTTAATTGAATTTAAGTAATTCGAACCAGGACTAAGTGAGCATTATGCCTATTAAATTTAGTCAACTATACACAATAATTGAAGAACAAAATGCATCTCAAATTGCGACTGCACAGACACCTAAAAACAAATGTCGAAGTCCAGTCCGACGGATAGGCCACTTAGAAGGATATTTAAAACATTCTCCTTACCAGGAAATGATTGCCATTACGACAACTGAGTCTTTAATTTTGTTGAACATAAAAGAAGTATAATTGATCAGTTGTGAATAAAATGTTCGATGAAGCGAACCTTGACAAGCTTTGCACCAGCTTCAAATGCACGCAAAACCTATATCATCACGAGTTAAAAGGAGTTCATAGTTAAAAGGTCCAAATAAATCTGAAGTTACATATTTTGGAACGCATAAAAAAAATAAAGAAAAACCAATAAGAAACCAACTAACAATTTATAATCCATGAAGACTACTTTTTTTTTTTTTTTGAAGAAAAAGTCAAAGCTTAATATATTAAAAGAAGAGGAAAAGCAACTACAAAGATGATTCCTCTTTCAATTTGTTAAAAAAAGGAGGAATCTTATTCAAAGAGAACTCATCCCAACTAAAACTACTAAATAAAGCATAGTTAGCACATATGTTTGCCAACTCATTGTTACCACGACCTATACAATTAAAAATGACAAAGTTGAAATTTTTTAAGAAATCCATACCCTCATCCGTTTGAGCTTTTTGAAGATAAGAAATGACATTTTGTAAGAAATCCATGAAGACTACTTGTATCAGTTCGTTACATATATTTTGCAGCAATATTTTACTTACTTCTGTAGGCGTCATTACTCCTGGTATATAGAGGACTCCAGTACCTTCAACTTCATGTAAAATTTCCTGAAAAGAAATTCCGACTGATCTTTATCAACGGCCAAAAAAGAATGAGAGAAAAAACTGCCAGAAAATATTTTTGTATTTGTTGTGTTTTTATTTTAAAAAATATATATTTTTGGTTTATGGTTTTCAGCTTTCTTCTGTTTTTATTTTTTAAAATAAATCAATATGTTTTTCAAAATACTCAAAGAGCTCCTTTTTTTTTTAAATAAATATCAACCCGACCACCACCTGGTTGGATCATCACTGCAAATGTCAACAGCTATTGCTGCCCTCCATCACCACCTTATGTAATATTAAATAAAAATAGCATTTATTGGATACGAAATATATATTTATTTTGTATTAACACAAATAAAATAAAAAAAAATAAAAAAAAGAGACAGTAATGTCAAACAGCCCCTAATCTTTTTTAAGAATAATTGTTGACAAATATATTTGCGTTGACACATAAAACTAAACCAACAAGCATAAATAATCAACCAAATCATATAAAGGCAAAATTTACAATCTAAGATAAATTAAAACTCACTATGACAGTGCCAGGACTCATAAGAAACTTAGCGCCGGCATTCATTGCTTCCCTTGCATCATCAACATTCAAGACAACCCCGGCCTACATGATAAAAAACGTACCAGCTTAATGTTTGAACAAAATTATGCTATTGAATAAATAAAGGCGCAGCCTTCCATCAATCACGTGTCATGCATTTACTCCAAAGCATAGATTAAAAAAAAAAAACAAAGGAAATCACGAAATTAACAATACTAAAATTCATCGTTACAATTATCACCACCATCATTATCTCACTACCCTTAATCTAACTATATAAGGTGAGCTTCATCAACCTTCATTCTCTAATTGTTCCTGTTGATATTGCATGAGATGTCAAAGTTCTTCTATGCTATTCTTTCAACACAATTTTTTGCATGCCATCTTTGGTCTATTCCTCTTCCTCCCTAATCCTTTGGCACTACTACCAGTAAGAAATTCATCCTTGTAGCTTCAATCTCACACCTAATTTCCTCAATTGTTAATCACGGCATAGTCAAATGTATACAAGTAAAAAACATTAAGTTACAGCAGGTTTAGATGTTTCAGATATACGTGCACAAGAAATCTCTCATGTACTGATCAGGTGCCTTGTTTATAAAACTATATTTCTAATTCTTCAACCAAACTTATTTAATTATGTAGATCGGGAAGATATCAGTTCCCCTCACAGTGTTAAATCAGCAGTTACCCCTATTATTGAAAAGGGATTTTCCTTCAGAAGCTCTTGTATTACCTGCAGAAAACAGGCAAAAGAAATAATATAGTGTAACGTACAGTAGCAACACTAAAAATGAAAATATTTCAAATTAAGTACCATTGATGCGTCTGGAGTGGACAACATGACTTCAAGCTACAAGTTTAATGACAAAAATAACCAGAAATAAATCTTTTTTTTCCTTGAAATGTAAAGATATGGTTTGAATTGAAAAAAATATACACACCACTGATATGCCTCCTTTGAGAGCAGCACGAGCAGCTTCCATTGCCAACATTCCACTACAAAGTAATGCCATAAACTTTAGTTTTAAATTTTAATAACAAATTCAGTAGACTTGATTATAATCGAAGGAAACGTCTAATTGTTGACAGGCAGATTAGTGTTACTTGAGCTTTTAAAAAAAAAAAGGCACGAGCCTTCATTCAAGTTCCTTCTAGGGAATTCAACAATTTTTGTTTGAGAAAAATTTTTCTGAGTAGTTTATCCAACAACCTATGGTTTAAGGCTACAAACTTGCAGTTCTGCCAGAACAGAAACAGGTAGAAGTCAGCCGACTGGGTAAAAGCAGCAAACAGACTGAGAAACAATGTAATAAGAGCGTAAGATGCTCATATGCCTACCAAAATTGATGGTTCCCAGGATAATGAAATGACAAGGAAAATAAGAAATTTAGCGATCAGAATAAACAAGAACTAAACTAGACCTCTACTAGGCCTCAAAATGAAAGGTAAAATGGTAAAGTCAGCGAGCAACATATACAGGCTATTATATAAATGGTGTGCCAGCTCATGAGACTTTTGCCAATGCAAGGTTTGGAAAATAAATGATGCACATAGCCTTAGCCTTACATGGTGAAGATGTGATTTGCTGGTTGCATAATGCGATATCCAGTCACAATGGATTCCCATTTGCCAAAGCCTTCCTTTTACAGTTGTATGAAACTGCTTCAGGAAGCTGTCTCTATTCACAACTGCCCGACCAATCATCATACCTATCCATTCTACCTATCTAATAGGTTATAGAGCACTCTAAAGTAGGCCTCGTAAGTGTTGGGGATGAGAGTAAAACACTACAATGACGAAACAAGCAAAAAAGTAAGAGCAGCGTAAATAAAGGACACCATGATTTAACGTAGAAAAACACAAAATAGAAAAAAAACCACGGAGCCACACCACATCAATAAATCCACTATCAAAATTTAGAGAAATAAGTGCACATCTCTCTTCTCTCTCGCTCTCTCATTGCTTCTCTTCTCACATGCACCATTCTCAATGTCTACAACAACAAGAAGAAGCCTTTATCCCACTATATGGGCTCGGCTACATGAATTCTCTTTCTCCATTGTGTTCTGTTAATAGTCAAATTTTCATCTAAATCTAATACAGAAAAGTCATTTCTAATATTTTCAAACCAAGTCTTTTTAGGTCTACATCTACCTTTCTTAACATAAGTCAAATATAATACATCTACTTTCCTAACCGGGCCATCAGAAGGCCGTCGTTTTATGTGATCAAACCATCTAAGTCGGCTCTCTCTAATTTTATCTTCTACTTGAGCTACTCTAACCTTTTCGCGTATATGCTCATTTTGTATCCTATCTCTAAGAGTAAAGTCCACCTGAGCATCCTCATCTCTGCAACACTTAACTTAATATTATGATTCTCTTTTAATGACCAACACTCTACACCATAAAGCATTGCAGGTCTCACTACCATCTTATAGGATTTTCCCTTAAGTTTTAGAGGGACTTTTCTATCACACAACTAACCCGCTGCATTCCTCCACTTCAACCATCCAACTTGAATTCTACTAATAATATCCCCCATCTATTTCACCATCACTCTGAACAATAGATCCAACATATCTAAAATGTGTACTCTTATTAATGACTTAATTACCCAAAGTCACAATCCCTATGTCAATGTCTAACATAACAAAATACAAAAGAAAGTCAAGTAAAATAACCCTAAGGGACGCAACCCTTCAAATAAACAAGAAATAAAACTATCAAATCTGTCTCGCAGCGTTGCGGCATCAACTTGGAGCACTGCGGCGCTTGAACTTATGTCTTGATCCACTACAGCGCTGTATCTATGCCGCTGCGGTGCTTTACTCTCTGTCGTTCAGAGCCGGGGCATTAAACGAAAAAAAAAATCAGGTTCTTAAGCAAGGGGTAAACCCCCTGCACCCACTATTTAGCAATTTGTGGAGCTTAGTGTTATAAAGCTCATTCAGCTTATAAAAAAATTCATTATCAAACTAACATAAAAAAGAGCAATTTAAACCTGGTAGAAGAAACATTCAAACCTAACGGATAACCACACTGCCGAAATTTTAAATTCTTTAAGATTTAGTCGGATTTTGTATCTATGATGCTAAACAGTTTTCAGGATTTAAAGCCTCTAGGGTTTGCGAAATCTGTATTTACAAGATTTCTTAAAATCCTGCAGAAGTTAAATCCTATGTGCAACCCCACAGACCCGAAATAGGATAATAATGACTAGTTTATGTCTACCATTTATACATTGTAAAGAACAAGAGAAAATCATGCATATAAAAAATCGCCCTGAATCCAATACGCGACGATGCAACTAAACAACTGTATTGCATCAAATGAGTCACTTGTAATGATCAATAAAAATCGTTCAAAATTGCCTGTAATGGAACACCGAGTGATTTATTTTGAATTAATTGTCAAACTCAACAGCTGGTTCAGCAAAATAACAAAATTTAAGCATTCTTCAATGTCAATTAATCCATTACAAGCATCATTTTGCGATTCTAAATCACTGATAGGGTCTGAAAAAAGAATCAATAGAACAGCGAACAGTACAGAAGAATATAAACGACGAAGAGGAGAGGAGTGTTTGACGTTACCCATTGGCTCGGAGACACGCTATAACGCGGCTGTTACGGATCTCAGATAGGGTTTCTGGAACGGACGAAGAGAGAGCGGAAGCAGGCGGCAGAGGACTCTGTGAAGCACGAAGGCAACGGCGACTGGGACGCATACGAGGACTAGGAATGGAGAAGAAATGGCAACCGGAGGCCATTCGAGGGCGGGAAACTTGGTTGCTTGGATATCAGAGAATCAGAAGCGCTCATTATGCATTTTGTGTTACATGCCGAGTATGCTTATATGGCTAATATAAAAAACTACATATAATTTATTTGGAAAATCTAATTTATATATAGATTTATTTGGAAACTACATTTTATTCATTAAAGTGCTATTTGTTTAGCTAAAAAAATTATATAGCAGAAAAAAAAATACTATAATGTATTTCAAATATTTTTTTATTTTTGATTGAGTGTAAAATAAATAATTAAATATATGAAATTAATTTTTAATTGATATTATTTTCTTAATTGATTTCATTTGAAGTAGAGTGAATTTAGTATAAATTTCAATAAAGGTGAAAGCAGCAAGTGCTGGCAAGCGGTGAGCGGCAACAACCGTAAACAAACACATGGTAAGTAGTAGCGATGGTGGGGCAGATTAATGGTGAGCGGTAAAGGCAAACAATGGCGATGATGATGATCAGTGGATAATTAGTGGCTATTCCTACGTTGCCTTATAAAATTAATAGTTAGGAAGAATATAATATGTGTGTGTCCTACGTTGCCATCATGCCTTATAATATTAATAGTTAGAAAGAATCTTGATTCTCCTCGGAATAATAATGAAGTTTTGTTATGATGTCAAACATCATCAATCCTTCAATGTTTGTTGTTGATGTTGTTGTTTCCACATGCGTGTGCTTATATGATGATGCACTTTTATTTCTGTTGATGATGCTTCAATGAGCTTTATCGAGTCATGAGTTTGACTTGAGCCTAAATTATATATGCTCGAGCTCAAGCTCAGCTTTTAAGCTCGTCGAGTTGCATGATTAATTTTATATGTATTTAAAAATAATTTTAAAATTGTAATGTATGACATATTTTAATCTTTTCAAATTATTTCTATGTACTCAGATAATTTTATTTGTATATTAAAAGTAAAAAATTTGTAAAAAAAAAAATAATAATAAAACTAAGGAATCAAGCTCAACAATCAAATTCGAGCTTTCCAAATGAGCTCGAGCCTAAAATTTTTTTTATTAGCCGAGTTTGAATTCAACAAATGATTTCTAGTCGAGCTAGAACACAACTAGAACTAAATTAGCTCAGCTCAATTAGTGAGAGGCACGATTTGACTTGACTCGTTTACATTTTATCTTGTTTTGATCATTATTAATTTTGTAAAAAAATTATTTATATATTTAGTAACAACAGTTTGCAATATAAAATTTTTTTAAAAATAACAAAAAAAAAAAAACTGTGGCCAAAAGCTAATCCAAATGAAGCCGAAGTCAGCTGAGATCCAACAACAAACCTAAGTAGTGAATTCTCTGGAGCATTTTTATTCTCATGTAAATGGAACGCAAGCTCGGATGCGGAATCGAGCCGCTCGACGAGCTCGTTTTCAGAGTCACAGTCGAGCTAAAGCTCGCCTTTTGAGCTTGACTCGAGATCGAGCTCAAGTTCTAGCTCATAATTTGACTCGCAAGTCGAGCTCAAGCTAGGCCTAACCCGAGCTTGACTCGACTTCTTTGCACCCCTACCTCCACTTGTTACAAAAATGGATGAAGAGAGTAAGAGAAAGATTATGAAAGCCTGTGTTCCACATTGTGTTTGATGTGGAAGAAGGCATGTAGGCCAACATTATAGAGTGACATGGTAGTGTTTCAGTTGTGGTGACTTTGGTAATAAGATGATGCATTGATGATGCTTAGATCCAAGCATAGAGTTGTTCAGTCTGGTAAAGGAATTTGAGTAATGTTGCTCCATCACGTAATGAAGTGCCCGGTAGTTCTCCAAGTATGTATGAACATTCCACTGGTATTTTTTTTTTGGGAAAATTTTGGGCTTAGCCCGTATATTGAAGAACTAAGAGATTACAAAAAGATTACAAATGAGCAAAAATAATGCCCACCACCGCTCAGGGAGCGCCAAGAAGCCAACAGACTAAACAAAAAGAGCAGAAAAATAAACCTGCCAACAGACTAAACATTCCACTGGTATGATTTTGTGTTATTTATCCTAATCTAAGTTTGTCTTTCTGACGCAATTTTGAATTGATTTGATGTGATTTCTGTTTTATAGTAGTTTGAATATCAATTAGTCAATTTGATTTTGAAATTTTATTTTGAGCATTCTCTCTCTCTGATATAGAAATATCCAAGATGACATATTTTGAAGGTGGGAAGATTGCAATAACTCAAAAATATGAAATAAATTTATTTTAAAAATATAAAAATTCAGAAGTAGAGAAATGTGGCACTGATTTAATGTGCGCTGCTGCGGCACTAGGCTACTAACACTGCTTATATATATATATATATATATATATATATATATATA